CTCCACCCTTGCCCCAGTCTGAGGGATGCAGCCTCCCCGCCAGGCGGGCGTTTGTGGTTGGGGGTGGCTTGGGCAAGGAGGCTCACACGTTCCACCCGAAGTCAAGGCGAGGGTCCCAGAACGACTCCTGAAGGACTCTGGCGAGTTCACTCTGATTCACACCAGGCTCCTGGCGTCTCTTGTAGTTGGATAATAGTTAAGTAGTCCTGCCTGGGAGACAAAGCAGCAGCTGAACCGGGGTGGATTCACTAAATCTGGTTACTAAGGGGAAATGCTGACCTGGTGTGGGGGAAAGGTTTTGTTGTTTGTTTTTAATTTAAGAGTATAACTCATTTCACAAAAGAATAATCGATACTTTCCCAAAGTAAACTTGATAAATAATTAAACTGGCAGGGCATAGAGTTCCCCCAAAGATACTTTTTCTTTCATTACACAAATAAAGGGATGCAAAAGTCAGCAAACAGGGTGAGTGAATAGTGTCTTCTACAGAAACTGAAAGATTAGTTCTAGTTTGGTTGGTGCTCAAATTTTGTGATTGCTTACACTGAACTCCTTGCTCCGTTTGACAGCCTCTGACAAATGTTACAAAACCTCTTCACTGCTGTGTGCCAAATAAGGCAGGTTTTTAATTCTGAAAGACTATAGAATGTTCTCTGAGGAGCAAGGTGCAACATGTATAACTAGGTATAACAACAGTAACTATTGTTTACCAAGGAACAGGCTTTGGCAGATAATCTAATGATCGTTGGGCATATGTTAATGTTTGTGTGTTGTATTACCAGCAGTTGTTTTCTTATTCTTTTTTGAAAAATCCAGATGATGGTTTAGACCTAGCCTTTACCCGTAGTAGCCAGAAAAAGACCCAGTCACTGGATTGTGTCACTGAAAACTAGGATAAACTGATTTCTTAAAACTTGCCCAAACATTGACTCCAGGATGGGGTCAGAATTTTATTATTTTAATGTCCTTAACTTGAGAGGCCAGTGTGTAGGTTATTCTTTCAGTCTTGGATAGACAGGCCTCTATGTACTTCCTCTTAGTCGTTACTCTGTTGTATTTCTTATTAAAGGCATAAAAAGAGAACATCTCTGTAGCTCATTGGCTATAATCCAGTAGACCATGTCTTCACGGTCTAATTTTACTGATCTGTGGCCTTTTCAGGGCAGGTGGCAAGCTCAGCAGTAGCTTAGGAGTTGCCATGGCTGAGCTATATATACTGCAGTCTATATTGCCTTAACAAAAGGTGTTAAGATTGGCTTTGATACTATGGACTCCAATCTATACTGAAGAATCTTAGCTTGTGAGTCTCACTACTGATCTCTATATACAGTACTCAATCTCTGGGAGCCTGTCCGGCTTCTCTATGTAGGAAGCATGCTAAGTGACCTACCTCCCTGGCATCCATTCATCTTTGAAAATCTAAAGTAGACTCAGCCAGGGATGTAGCTCAGCGGCTTCACACCCGCCTAGCAAGCACAAGGTCCTAAGTTCAATCTCCAGCACTGGAAAAATTTAAAGTAGACTGAATTGGACCATTTTTCCAACTGAAACTTCATAAACAGCGGTATCGTAAGGTATATTTAGTGTGCATATCATTGGTGGTTTTCTTAAAGCCTTTGTATCCAAAAAAATCCTTAACCTGGTTTTTAGTCTCTGAAATGTCTTTCAGAATGTTACAACCAGCTCTCAGGAACTGATTGAGTTCAAAAGTCAAAGGTCCACTGTATTTGGCCATTTGAAGAATTTTTTAAAGAAATTTATTGAGTACTTGCTATGCACCAGGTACTGTACTGAGTGCTTCTCATCTATTATCACTAATTCTCAGACTAAACAACTTTCCACGATGATTTTCTTGAACCCAATTTAGAGATAAGGAACAAGAAGCTTGAAAAGTACATCAGGATTCTAAAGAAATCTCACCAAAATCCCTGCTCTTTCAGTGTTCAAAGATTTGACAAAAATGTTGATTTCATAAAATGAAAGTATGTTTTTGACTATAATTGTTAGCTGAAAATAGCTAAAATGCCTTTGTACTTCAGAGTTGCCTATTGCCCAGGTGGTGGCAGTATGTCTCAAAGAGCTAGTCTTCTGGGCAGGTTTCCCAGCCTTGGTAGCTAGTTTGTGTCTCTATCCTACATATGTGACCTATCATCTCCACTGGGCCCTTTTACTGTTACAGTGGTGCATCCTGCTGTTCTCATTGTCTTCTGTGGGGATCACACTGCCTTTCAGCCAGTTTTACTGTGAAGTATTTACCAAATTGTTTTCTAGAAAACCCATTCAGGCCTATCCAGTAAGAAAAATACTTTTCAATTATTATTTTTTAACCATTATTAAATATTATGTTAGGAACACCTAAACTATTTTAGCTAATATTACTAGGAAATGCTTGTTTGAATTAGAAGGTGTGCTTTATGTTTATGTATATTAATGGATACATTAATGGGGTAATGAAAAGCTATTAAAGAATTTTCAAAATTAAAACAAGATTAAATAGGGAACAGTACAGAGTTATATAATTCAGAAGGACCATTAATTAGTATTTAGCAAAATAACATGTTAAACCTTTGGCCAGAAATTGCTTGGGATAAACTTTTTGTATCTTTGTGAGGCTGCTTGCCTTCTAGAGGTTTCAGATCAAGTGTTCACAAAGGCTTTCCAACCCTATCACTTTTTTCCCCTCAGCACTTACTTATTGTCTGTTTTCTTACTAGAATATACATTGAGATCAGTTATCTCAATAAGTAGAACATTATTTTAAATACTTGGTTTCAAGATAGTACATTGTTCATTACCAATGAAACTATTAGTGTTTGAAAAATTATGAAATAATTTAGATCCTGGGTACTTGCAAAGCTCATATTAAAGTAAGAACTGTTGGAAGATAGTTTGAAAGTGATCAGAGATCTCCCAGAAAAAAAAGGTCTAAAATTCAGTGAGATGTTAGGAAAATTTTTTAAATAAATACAGTTATCTTGTTAATGAAAGAAGTCTAGTTACTTTCCAAGTAGGTAAAATTATTTACAGGAGAGTAGTGATTCATCATCTTCATTGATAAGATAAAAGGAATTAGTCTTAGGCCGTAGGTGCTAAGATTTAAGATAAGAGCAAGCCAGACTAGAGATCTACATAGAGATCTTTGAGAATGGAATAAGAGTGTGTACATAGATTAGATGCTCATAAAGATATTTTCCAGCTTTTGATTCCCAATGCAGATAGTAGGAGAACTACTTGGATTAGGCAGGAGAGGTGCCTCTTGTTGCTGATTCCTAGCTGCCCAAGTCTTTTTCCATATATTTTAGAACCAATTTCATGTGTTTTTTTTTTTTTTAGCTCAGTCAGTACAGGTGGTTATATACTGTTGCTTTGAGTAGCTTGTAGATACGTAGTTTTGCCAGTTGGGTGTCTTGCCATTTTTTTTTTTAAACAAACTGTTTACAGTGCTTCATCTCCAGAATGCACTGTACTAACTGTACTGTACTATATTATTTTCCACAATAAAGTGTTTTAAATAGGGCTGCAGCAAACATTCACTTCAGGTAGAAGGTACCCTTTTGGATTAAAATGGTCTAATAAATTCCTCTGAAGCTTCACAAATTAAAATTGTAATAGACACTAAAACTGTGTATCTGTATGATCTTATCAAGGATAGTGTCTTCTGTGTCATGCAATGCCTTCTGTATAAAGTCCCATGTGAGATAATTTAGAATGTGATGCTAAGAAAATTTTGATAACCTAGTTTTATTTCTGATTGATAGTAAGACCAGGAGCCAAATTTAAAATGCTTTTTTACTATCCATTCTAACTTGCTTACCTGCATTATTTTTTAAGTACTGAAGCTTGAGCACAGGCTTTATACATGCTATGCTGACCTACACCCCCATCCCCTGAATTTCTTTTTAAGTATATTTTTCCTAGAATGGGTATCATGTATCATTATGGAATTTTGTCCATGTGGGAAGACACTCTAAGGTCTTTGTGAAAGTATTAAAGTATTAGAAAAACGGAATTTTGCAGAAAACCTGTGATATCTAACAGTAGTTATTGGCTAGTAAATTTCTTCCACTGATCCTAATTTTTGTTTATTTTTAAAATCTTTTAACCATCCAGAACCATTAGTTCTCATTCAGAACTAGAGAACATAGGAAATCATTTGGAACTTTATCCCAGTGTCTGGTTCTAAAATCTAATCTGTTTTCTTAATAACCCTCAGAATATAATGTGTATATTTGGAATCTAGTTCAAAAAGTGAACAAAAATTTACTGGTGCCAGGCTATAAATATAGTTCCTTAAGCCATCACTTACATTCATATCATGGTCCCAGATTCTTTTTGCTGAATTCACAGTTTATGTTTTTAGGCTTCCTGACTTAGGAAGTGAACAATCTAAAAACTTCTAATCCACATACGTCCTTATGAAGAATAGTAAAAGTGGTAAATATGATGAATTTCTGGAGATTGTGAATTTCAATTTCTACTGAATTTTTAGATTTTTCCTTTATCAGCTAATTTCCCAGTTCTGTAGCAAGTAGGTAATACTTGTTTTCAAACAAAAAATGGACCAATATTCTCTTAAAGTTGTTTTCATCTCGAGGTTGTTATACTCTGTTGCAGTTGTTGATTTGTACTGTTCATGAGTATAAGTGTACAAGAATCTGACTTAATCTTATCTTAGGTTCATA